ATGCATCTCCTTATACACGCTCATGCCCAGGTCGGCTGGGCTGGGCGCCGGCTCTCCTCCCCTGCAGTACACGCACTGCGGGCGGGCCTGCGGGACGACCAATCGACCGACATCCGGTCCAGTTTTTGTCGCGGCCTGTTTCGTAAACATTGTCCGACACACTCTGCGTTACACGCCACTCGCTCCGCCGTCTGCACTGTGCCGTGCTCATTCTGCGCCATTCGCTGCTCGCGTCGGCTGGCCGGCACGGAGTGCTCTGCGGGCGTGATGGGTGGTGGTGCGATGCGGGCATGGATTAGCGCGGTTCATGGTCAGCTGCTCAGATCTGTAGTGATTACGGTCGTCTGCGTGAAAAACGTGCGCAGAAACGGACGGACTGTTTGTGAATGTGCGTGTGTGTGTGGTGTGTGTGTGTGTGTGTGTGTGTGTGTGTGTGTGTGTGTGTGGTGTGTGTGGTGTGTGTGTGTGTGTGTGTGTGTGTGTGGTGTGTGTGTGTGTGTGTGGTTGTGTGTGGTGTGTGTGTGTGTGTGTGTGTGTGTGTGTGTGTGTGTGTGTGTGTGTGTGTGTGTGTGTGTGTGTGTTGTGTGTGTGTGTGTGTGTGTCATGCTTGGTGAGGTGGGACTGGTTCTGTAAGCACGCCAAGCAGCGACCTGTGCGGCTGCCAGCAAGTTGGTTTGTGCGGATGCTCTTCGGCGGCTGCGGCCGCAGTGACGGCGGGTTGGCCTGAGGACAGCGTCGGGCTGGCGACTAGTGCGCAGCCAAATCATCTTTAAGCTGCAGACACTTTCCGTCCCGCCCACTAACCATATCACGCATCTCCGCAGGAGTTGGAGCTGCAGGCGAAGGCTCACGGCCTGCCGCTGCACGACGAGCTGTGGAAGACGATGCCGGACGAGGCGCAGTGCGCGGCGCCGTCGGGCGCGAGACCAGCGTCGCCGCCGCCGCCGCCACCGCCGCCGCCACCCCGCCGCCGCTGCTCGCGCAGCCGCCGCAGCCGGCGCCGCCCGACGCCGCCGTCCAGCCGCCCGCCTGTCGCGTCAAACAGGTGAGGCTGACCGGCGACTACGCTCGAGACGGCGCCGGCGGCACCCGGCGACCACGCTTAAGACGAATAGCCGGCGTCGCTCGGCGGGCCGCTGTACCCAGCGACCATGTATCAGCTTCTGTTTCAAGCCGCGTGCCCAGGCCAAGGCTGATGGTGCAGGAACAAGAGCGGACAGTCAATTGTGATGTAAACTGAAGGGTTCTTCTTACCCGCCACCTGGCTCCGATTCTGAGATTTGACTCCCTTGATGAAGAACACACGTATAATAAAAAGCTTATCTCAGCTAAGCAATGAGTACCCATCTGAACCCAGGCTGTAACGATGTGAGTGGTATTCTGGTAGTGCTGCGAACATGCATCAGCGTCAGCCTTATTTATGCGCGCCTCTTTCCGTGCACGTGTGGCGAGAGTCCACGCGATGTAAATGTATACCACGACCCATTTCCTAACATCTGCATCGTTGCGAGACCTACGAGCTCAAAGGGATCGGACTAACCCAAAATTCATTTGAAAGTTCCACCCGTGGAAACTACGACTCTCTTGATGCATATGCGAACTTTTTGACGGGAGGTGCTATTTGCCCTATAATGATATACGCAAGTTTAGCTCTAAGGTGTGAATAATGATATTTGCAAACATGACGGAAAGTTTAGCGGTACTCTCAGATATGGCAACGCTTCAGCCTATATGACTCCGGGGGTTGCTGGGTCTAACCTCTGATGTTCCATGGTTACCGAGCGCAAAATGACCTCCCACGTCGGCGCGCCCAAAACTCCAATCATCGGTTTCCGGGAAGGACAACCCAGTCTCATAATGCAAAGAGTGAAATCTGCCCTCCGTCATGCATCATTTTAAAATGCATTTCGAATGCTTTGCGCGAACGGCTTTGGTTTCACAGTAAGGGCTACCGGTTAAGCAGAGCTTGCAGCACATACCCTGGAGTTGCCGCCCAGGGCGCGCCGATCCTGTTTATCGGATTATGTTACCTCCGGCCTTTTGCTGACAGAACTGGAAAGGATTTTACGCGCCGCAAGTGCTGCGACTCGACGGCCGGGAGCCGTGTTGATCATCTTTGTCTAGTTGCCAGCTAATCTTTCTGTATCCGTTGTGCCAAGCAGCGCGCATGCGCTGATAGTTAGTCCCTGGTTTACGGGTTTGCCATCTTTGTGGTAGACCACGGCGAGGCAAAGGCCCCTGCAAACCAAACGCTACGTTTAGAGCTCAAATGCTCGTCGCCTCGTTTTTTAACTGAAAGGTTTAGGTGAAAAACAGCGAATACAGTCGGCGTGCCCTAGAATACCAACGCACTACAAACAACACGAAATACACATTTTTTGGCCTTGATCAGAGCCTTTTTGAAAATGAGTGCCATGCCACAGCCATAGAATGAAAGGTGGGAGCCTCTCCGTGGCTCAAACGAAGCGGGGCGTTTTCAATCTGCACAAGTTATGGAATTTCAACTATGGGATTAAGGAGAAAAGTTAGGAGGTGGGGCTGTAATGCGGCTGTCCTGGGTTACCACGGGCGCGGGTACGTACTCGCCCAGGGAACCCACCCAGTGTTCTGCAGGATCCCAGCGGGATTTCCAGGCTGGGCGATCCGGTGGTGAGGCTTACTCAAGGATAACGGCGGCAGCATCAAGGCGATGCGAGGGCACAGGAGGCGGCCAATTATATGAGGGCAGATGCATGGGTGCTAACACTTAGAGGCAAAATTCAAGTAATGTCGAGAATTGCAACGCGCCTATGGACGTTTTTTGATTCCCAGCTCCCTTAAGCCTAGATGATATAAGCCAGGTTTTTGTCAAGCAAACTGCCGAGGAAGCCCTGACACACATAGTGATTAGTGGGGGGGGGGGGGCTGCTGTAAAGGGGCCGGAGCCCGCGGAACCTGCAGCATCCCGCCCTGACCGTGCGGGGGTCTCTGCCTGCCGCCCAGCCAGGCTCCGTCCGGCGCCGTTCTCCGGGAGGCGCCGTTCCGAGTTGGGAAGCCCGACACTCGCGGGCCGTGACGGTGCGCGCCGCTATCTGGTCGAAGAGCGCCCTCTATCGGCTGATCTTCCGCCCGGACCGCGGCTGATAGCGCGCCGAGGGGCCCGGTGCCACCGCACACGCAGGCCGGCCGGCCCCTGCCAGCGTCGAGGGGCGCCGGTGCCACGACGCACGCAGCCGGCCGGCCCTGCCAGCGCGAGGGGCGCCGGTGCCACCGACACACGCAGGCCGGCCGGCCCCTGCCAGCGTCGAGGGGCGCCGGTGCCACCGACACACGCAGGCCGGCCGGCCCCTGCTAGCGTCGAGGGGCGCCGGTGCCACCGACGCACGCAGGCCGACCGGCCCCTGCCAGCGCCGAGGGGCGCCCGTGCCACCGACGCGCGTAGCCCCCTGCCAACGCCGCATACGCCACACATACTAGTATTACCAATTGCTTGCTAGTATTACATTTGTTTGAGGATGGAATGTAGGCAGCTTTGCTTCGATTTCTGACGGATGGCGTAAGAGGTCGGAACAATGGTAACGATGGTGTATTTCTGACGCTCCCAACGACGTAAGTAATCGGAATCATGGTGATCATGACAGATTTCTGGCCGTTCTAACGACGCAAGAGTTTAGACCGATGGAGATCATGACAGTTCATGCGTCGTAAAGTAGCCGAGGCAACGGCGCGTGCGGACCGCTTCCAAAATCGACATGCGAGTCATCGTTCCCGAATCTCCAGACCATCCAAACATTTGACCTTGCTATATGGTTCACTTAGTTGATAAGTGCTGCGCTAGAAGACCTAAATCAGATTTCCGTGATGCTTGGATCCCGCTCGTAGAGAAATA